TATTTATTCTCCTTTGTCATGAGTTCACAAAGGTGCATCATGGTTTATTTGATCTGTTTAATTCTTTGAGTACTTTGAGTCACTGACGATAAATATTTAATTATCCAGACTGAGTGGAGATGAAATTAAACTCCACGTTTAAAGGTCATCTAACTGTGTTTCAGTGATAACGCCTCAGTACCACTGAGGACTTTTACAATGTGACTCCATTAGATAGTGGTTGCACCTAAAGGAAGATGTTATCCAACACTTCTTACATGTGCTTGATCTTAAAGCAGATCATTTTCAAACATGGTCCTGTTTTGTATTTCTTGTGTTGCAGGATGATGTAAAAGGAGCTTCTTCAGAGCTCAGTCTGTCTTGTATCAGTTTGTCAGGTGAGTAGAGACCCTCAGAGACCCTCAGATATAATATGGAGTGTGTTATTCTTGTTTCATGGTGTCTTTTGTATTCCAGAGTTTGTCTGAACATTAGTCATGTGATTGACACCCACAGCGTCAACATCACATGTTGTAATGTTTTGGTGCAAAGCTCACCGTTTCCCTCTTGCACTTCCTGTTTGGTTAGTTTGTACAGAATTTACCAAAGAGACCATGCATGGCTGAAAGGAAGTGTGTAGAGCTCCGTAAATACACGTTTTAGTCCTGTTTGAACACAGCTGCAATCAAACAATCACTGGGTGTTAAAATGACCAGTTTTGTGCTGACACTAAGCTGGACATGAGAGAAGATAAAATATTTGGTGACTGCACAGTGTTCAGAGATGCTGAAGGTTTGAACCCATAAAACGTCGCTGGAGTAAACCACCAGGGGCCTCATGTATCAAAGAGTACAGCTCTCATACTGACTGTATGGACCAGTGTGAGGTGTCTGTTCACAGAAAGGTTCACATGTATCGAAGTGGCACACGCATGTTTCTTTGCTCCTTTCAGTCATACATTACCTGCATTCAAACCTGGAAACTAGACGCTATTAAGTCCAGCATGTGTGATTCTCCTCTGAAGGATTAAAATAATGTGCGGTGTGTGTAGCTGTGTTTCCATTGACCATGAAAATGTGCAAATTAGAATTTTGAAAATAAATTTGCTCAATGGAAACACGTCAATTTTGAAAAAAAATCACGTTTTTTGACAAAATGTTTTTGCGCTAGGATGAGGTGGTATTTCGGCCGTATCAAAATTGGTGTTTTTTGCAAAACTGCAATGGAAACACTTTTTTTGCATCACGGGAGTCACGTGATCAACAACCGGCTGTTTCTACTGGTGAAAAAGACGACAAAGAAGATAACAGGAAGTAGAAGTAGTAGTAATATCATAGAAGTAGTATAAAATAGTAAACTCACTAACTACAATTTCCCAAAAACACAGCATACGTAGCCACTCCCAAGTAGGGCCTTGTCTCTGGAAAGCCTCGATAAAAGACGCCGACGTCTCCTCTGACGATGAGCGCTAGTGTCGTGGTAGCAACATGTATGTGTTTACATCCATCCCCGCCATGTTTGTAATGACTTATCGCGAGAACAAATGTATTCACGCGTGACTTTAATAGCATTTCTTACTTAATGGAAACACTGCAGTTGCGAAACTGTGTTTTTTCGACATTAACAGAATATCGACAAAGTTTTGGGCACATTTGCAATGGAAACACAGCTTATGAAGCTGCTGAACTGGGGTGCAGATCTGCCACCGGCGCACCTCTGAGGCTGAAAGGTTTTCACCTTTCTGCTCATGTTTAATAACATAACTGCTGTAAACACAGGAACTCAGGAGTCTGGTAGAACTTTGAGACGTATTTATTAAGTAGTTGATGTGAAGAAACGAGTGTTTCTGCTGCGGTGCAGAGGAATTTAAGCATGGCACAGCTCAGGTATGACTATTAAAATACCTGACTGGTGTTTGGTCAGTATGAACTTTACGCAACTGTTTAGGAACAGATATTTCATTGTCTACATCTAGTCAACGTGAGGAATAATAAGTGAGTTGTTCTGAATTAATACAATTAATATTCTGCTCTTCTCATTAAGAGTGAAAGTGCCACTTAGACTGTAAACATGCAGAAGTCTGTGTGCCTCACAGGTGTGTGTTTCTATCTACAGGTGACAAAAGTCTAAGAACCTTCACAGTTTACACTGGACTGAGGTTGTTTTGATTATTAGGTGATGAGGTTAAATGTGGTTCAGTTTCTTCATTCAGATTTAAACCATAAATTCCCAAACAAATAAAAAGCAGTGTTTAAATACCCCTTAAGTTCAGAAAATCTATATTTAGTCAAGCTGATGTAGTTTTTAGTTTCATACTGTGGACTGAACAAGTTTGTGTGGAGGTAAGCATATTCTCACAGAAGATCAGAAGCGTATGTATTTTTACTTTATCACAACTTTAATTTTAATACATCCCAACTTGCAGACCTTTTAGTGCACGTTACGCACTGTTAGAGGCTCCTGAAACTGTGCTGACAGTCTTCAGCTTCACTTCTCAGTTCAGTTCTTTTTTTCAGTACATCGTTTACAACAACCTGTGTTTGTGTCTCACATAAACACATCAGATCACATTACAGGTCTGGCATTTCTTAAAATAATCCACCTTTCATTCCAGCGATGAAGGTTTTAGCTCAGTATCTGTAGAACCCATTTTTGTGTTGTCTTATATTGCCGAGCTGTGGCATCCATCTTGTATTGGATTTAGGGCTGCTACGATTAATCGATTAATCGACAAATAATCGATTATTAAAATAATCGATGACTAATTTAATAATCGATTAATCGTTTTCTTTTTTT